TCCGCACCTTCTCCAATGGACACTGTAGGTCACTCCCAACCCCTATCATTGATCTCTGGTTGACAGTTACTTCTTCATGATCTGCGGAGACACGATGGAATGTAACCTCACAGGAGCTACCCTCAAAGCGACGACCCTGGGTAAGTATACCGAGTTTCACCTTAGGCGGCAACCACACATCCTCTGGTGACAAGTTTACTACCTGCACTGGGAACACTCGCCTACCAGGTGACACCAAGGTAGGAACCAGGACCAGGCCTCCTGGCAACGGCGTATTGCCTGGTTCAAACAATCCTAAGCCACTGTCTCCAATCACTTCCTTGTGTGTTTTAGCCTGAATGGTAGCAACTGAGCCTGCAGGGACATACAACTTATGTGTGCCCACCGTCCGAACTATAGAGGTTGCCTCCACAGGGATAGCCTCTTGCACCCTGTTGAAAACGGCTCTCCAGTCAGCATCCAACGTCCCTTCCAAAGCATTGTCAAACTCGGCCAGAATCAACTGTTTACAGCGCTGCGCTATGTTCATGCCAAGTATGCCCGGGGGCACTGAGTCGGTCACCCCTCCCTCTTGGTCACGAATCACCAGGAATCCACACCCAGGTATAGTCAGACCCATTACCTGGATATCAAGTTCGACATACCCAAGGTAGGGAAGCGGCAACCTATTGGCAGCGGTTATCTTCAACCACTTGGTCGTACAATGCATGTCTTTATCTTCTCCATGAAGATGCTCTTTGAAGAACCTCTCTGTCAAAGTACTCACATTGCTGCCAGTGTCCAATAGGCACCTGACAGCTACCCCCCCAATGTGAATTTTGACTTCTGGGCACTTGCCCACTGCACGCTCCAGGAATCGCTCTTTGGTCAGGGTGCCACTGTTTGAGCCATCAGTGCCACCTCTCATTGCTCGGCTCTTCGCAATGGAGGCACACAGTTTCCCTGAAGACTCTGAGGCTCTGGCGCAGCTGGCACAGGGTTTTCATGGAAGCGTGACACAGTGCATTGCCGGGCTATGTGTCCAATGCCCTCGCATCTCAAACAAATGGGTTGGCCATCATGGGTATATTTTGGCTGAAACCTGGCCTTACTAGGTTTCTCACCCCTTGGGTCAGACTTCTGGATTGTGAGGTCGCGGACAGCATTGGTAAGTTCCCCGATTGCTTTCCCTTGTTGTGTAATTACCTTAATTACCTCCTGCAGGGCTACAGTCAAGTCACTTGGTACGGTGGCGGACATTCTCGCATGCTCTACATTTTCCCCCACACCCACTAGATTTCGGTTTCTAGCTAGATTAGCTGTACGGGGTCTCTCTTCCAGACACCACATAAGGGCCTCCTCACGGACTTCGAATAATGTAGCGTGAGGTCGCTCTCGAACCACCTTACGTAGTTCCCTACGGAGAATTGAATCCCTCACCCCCTCTATAAACTGATCTCTCAATGCCAGTTGCGTGTCCGGAACAATATGGGGTGACTGCTGGAGTGCAGCATTGAGCAGCAAGGACAGGGCGTGCGAGTAATCACGGAAATCTTCACCATCCAATTGTTTCCGTGCGTAAAATGCATGTAGCAACTGGGGGGTGCTTCGCTTTTCCCTGAAGGCTGCCCTCAAGTAGGAGAACATGTCTTGAGGTAACTTATCCTCCCCTCCCATACACAACCTGACTTCATCTAGAGCGGAACCCCTTAAGTGGGATAGGATAAAATCCACCTGATCCTCTGTATTTAGACCCCTCACTCTGATTACTCTCTCAAGTTCCTCAATGAAATCATCCACATTTTGGCAATCTTTACCTGGATCCCCACTAAAAGGTACAATTTGTCTTTCTCTAGGGATATACACATAAGATCTAGTAGGTACATTAGTCATGTTAGAAAGCGTCGACATTACTTGGTCATGTCTACGTCCCAACTCCAGGATCTGTGACTGTAGCTGCAAAATGGGGTTACCTCCCTCAATGTCCATTTCCGGAGCTGCAGCACCTGCACCTTGAATGTCCTCAGCCTGGGCGGCTGCATCGTCCATGCCCTCAGCGTCCATGCCCTCAGCATCCATGACTCGCGGTTGCAGAAAGTCTCAGTTCTTAAACAGTCAGTTCAACAAGCACCGTCCTTCACAATCTCCTCACACGCAGCAGTCCTGGTTTGCTGGCCCTTGGTCCTCCTGCAGCTTTCTGTTAGGATGGCACACAATCTTCTGCAGGTCCTTCTAGCACTCAGCCGCTCTTAACCACTACCGTTGTTTGCACCCTACTATTTTAGCACTCTTATCACAAAAATAAGCCAACCCCCAAACAAAAAACGGAACCCCACTCCTGGTACCAAATTAGATGTAGCCGTTCAAACGTAATGTCAGGGAATAAGACACAGCCATAACATCTAAAGGAAAGGGTTCTTTAATTCCTGACTGAGACTCGAAAGAGACACAGCGTTAATGCAGATTTTTTGTTCAGGCGAAAAGCAGTTTTATAAAAAACTTTCCAATAAGTGGAATTGGCAAAACAAAATTAACTGTCAAACTGACTCTAATGAGTGCAGAAAACAAAGTCTTACAAAACAAAATGGCTAGAAAAGGTGGGTTTTCACATTGATAATCTCAAAAACAAATAAAATGGGTGCCGAAAACAACGGTAGTGGCCTGTATGTGCCTAATGAAAGAAATAAAACAGCATAAATGAGAAATCTGCACATTTCACCACATGAATACATTACAATCCACAGTTTGAACCCTTCTGTTCAAATCAAACAGTAAATACACTCAAGAAAATAGTATACATTTGAACAAAGGTACAAATATTCTTCATTACTTATACATGAACACTTTAGGAGAAGAAAATGATCAAAACTCACTCTTATTGAGACTTTGAAGCACACAGAAAAAGCTCATGTAGTAGCTGGAGCACGTGCAATATCACGTGTGGCTGTTCTCCCCTCTAACACAGCATAAAGAACAATAATTACTCAATGTTCCATTAATATATGAAATAAACAGTGTTATTTAACATTTCAACAATTTTTTATAACATATTACAGATTAACTCACGCTCAATCTTCCTCTACGTCTCTGAATTCCCTTCCCCCACGGAAAATCACTCACGTGCAGGAACACCACACTCGTATAAGCAACTAAATCAACCATACACTCGACACTACCACACGACTGTTATCGCCACAGATTCACAAGTCAATATTAAACTGGAAATGTTCTTCCTTTAACAGTTTAATCGACTATTTCTCCCTCTGTGTGACTCCGTCTCAAACTGCGCTCTCTTTCAGTCTGACGCGCTCTCTCTCACCTGCGCATGCACACACTCTTAAAGGGGACAGCGCGCAAAGCTGAGTGAAAGGAAACATAAGGGCAAATCACCAGGGAAATTAATCAAATTCCAGGCTATTCCTGCCCTGGTTACATATGTTATATTCATTTAAGCCATGATGTTTGGTAGACGCATCAGGATTGACGTCAGGGATGCCATATGATATTTGCTAGTAAAGAGAACCACAGAGTTTGAGTTTGTGACATTAACAAATCTAGAAGTCAGAAATGGCAAGAAAAAGATAGTGGAGAGAAATAAAGAGAACAAGCACTCTGCCCTGGCTGTTAGTCATTACGGCAGTATTTTTCCAAGCGCGGTTGTGAAGATGTTGCACTTTTGTGTTCTGGGACAAAAGAAATCAATGTGTTTAAATGGGTCCCTATCAGACCATAGTGTTCTAGAGTGCAGCACCTCCACTTTTCCCGCTTTCAGCTGACAGCTTCTACACTCACTCACTCACACGCTGAAAAAGCAGTCATTTGCCCTCCCTACTGAACAAAGACAGTTCTAAAAGCTACAGAAATATATCCTCTGCAATCAATGTTGTAGCGCACTTATATAACCCACACACAAGATAAAGATTGACAGCTTTTCATATCTGTCTTAGCTGAGGGCCTATAGAGTAAAACAGTGATTGCGTTCAAATATTTAATCCTCAGTAATGTGAAAGTGTCTCTGTGCTGATGTGCGTCAGTCAGCTGGATTAGTGTTGACCACATGCATAATACAAGAAAAACAAAATAAATCAACAATAGCATTGGTGTATTGAAACCACAAGAAATAAAAATAAAATATATGTTTTCAAATATCTTTAAAAATCCGTGATTTGTTTGATGGACAACCAACAGACCATGCTGAGAAGAGCGAAGACTAGCCATAGAAGTTTGAACATAATGTAGTGAGTATGCTTTGAAAACCCAGTAAGAAGCGCATTACAGTAATTAATGCAATAAGAAACAAATATATTATAAAGTTTTCTGCAACTGAAAGGGATAGCATGAGAATAGCATTTTGCAATATCTAAGATAAAAAAATAAGTCTTTACAACATTTTATGAGTGTCAAATGTCAATGAAGAATCAAAGATCAATCAGAAACTCAAGTACAGAATCATCAATGGGTTCTTTGGCCAGCCTTATGGAGCTGATGAAGAAAACCAATAAGCATGAACCTCAGTTTTATCACCATTTAAACAAAAATGGCTCATTTCATAAATGGTTAAAAAAAATCTAAATAACGGATAAATGCTGCATGACCACTTAATTTGCACAAAATTTTCTTCAAAGCTACCTTGTTATTTGAAACCTTATCAATTTTATTTATTTAAAAGAACACACAAATCGGGGTTCTATAGTATATGTAGAAAAAAGAAAGAAAAAAATTATCTCTTTTTATACCATATTTTGTGGAAAATGCCAAATAAAGTTTGAATCTCTTTTTATACCATATTTTGTGGAAACTGCCAAATAAAGTTTGAATCTCTTTTTATACCATATTTTGTGGAAAATGCCAAATAAAGTTTGAATCTCTGCACATCTGACAAAGAAGATATTTTCCCATAATACAAGACTTATAACAGATGAATACATTTATGGGATACCATTATACTGGTACCGCATTTGGCTTTCTGTTTTGCAACTGATGTTCTGTTCTGTGTTATTTCTCTCTCTCTCTCCCTATAGGTAGCGTTATCACTCCAAACTACCTAGATAACTCAACATCCAATGTGGGACCGTGGTGCTCCTGTGCGGCTAGTGGGAATTTCCGAGATCAGTGCAACCACTTCCTCAGCCATTTTCATGACAACAATTGCTTGAGTGAGTTAAAACTTCTTCCCTGTTCTATAACACACATAAATATTATGGTCATTGTTGGATATTCCCCTTTGTGCATGAAGAGAGACATGCCCTGCATCCAAATATGCCTTCTTCCATACTATATAGGGGGCAAAACAAGAGCATGTGAGCCAAGTAGTATGTCCAAATTCACAGTATTCATATATCAGTGGGCAAAAAGTTTGATGGACACTTTACTATCTCATGGGAGAAGATTTTGGAAAGGCAGTGAAGCGACGCAAGTGACGCCATATAGATCACAGTGACAACATGACGGATGTCCGAATTTCATTCATCCTACACACATTCATATATAGAGCATACTTTTTTTGCGAAGCAAGTTTCAAACCAAATGTTGTGCCTACTATACAGTATGCGGCTTCACCATTAAAACAAATAAAAATCAATTAATTAAAAATGCAGTTAAGTTAGTAGTATCTTTACTTTGAAATAATTCACAGAAACTGGCTGCATTTAAATTCACTATCTTCAGTGAAGAAATTACTTTGCAACCTTTAATTGGTTTGCAGGTGTGTACTATAAATATCGTCCCAGACATCCACCATCTTGGCTTTGTCCTTTTACCTGACAGAAGTTCTATGACACCCTAACAACAACTGTGAAAACAATAGTGGGACTGTCCCAAAACCCACACTTGCAGTCTGCAGACTGTCCCAGGTCTGAAAAAATGCCAAAGCTCAGTGCCCTTAACACACACACTAAATCAACATTGCTAAGCGTATCCCATCATCCATAGTGTTCAGAAACTCGCATGCCCTAAAATCGCTAGACGTCATGAAATATCTTCCAGTGAACTGTAAGTTAAAGGGGTGATGAACTGAGAAATCAAATTTTCCTTGAGCTTTTGACATCTAAGAGGTCATCAAATTATAAGAATATCCTGTAAGTTTCAGAACTGAAAACGTCCTTGTTAGTCCAATAAAAGCTTTTATTGACACCAGGCTCAGCAAACGACTCGTTTTTCAAAGTGGGGAACTATGACGACAAAGAGGATAAAACACCACCCCCGCAGAAGAAGATCAACGCCTACTTCAACACGGCCGGTTTAGCCCCGCCCACCGATTCGCGCATTACACGAAACTCATTATAATATGCAAAACTGTTATCCACTCACAGCAGTGGGCGTTTACTTCCAAGTCTTCAATGCGAGACGCCCATAAAAACCGAGCGTTTTGAGCTAGGCTCAAAACTAGGGTAGAAAATAGCCTATTACTTATTCATTTTGATGTTTTTGAATGTAAAAACCAAGCGAACGTCATACGTTGACCTCAGACAACAATATAAAACCATTTAAAAAGCCAGTTCATGACCCCTTTAAATTAATTAGATGTTACATATATTTGGGAGTAAAGTGTTGAACATTTTATTGGAGCAGAGATGAGTACTATATTTTCCAGAATGTAAATACCTTTATAATGTAGATAATGCTTGTAAATGTTTTGTTTTATTTACTGGTATTTGCCATTTATTTTTGAATGTAGAAATAAAATGTGTCTTATACACCGATGCAACTTATCTATTTTTATTTTCTGTCAACAATGCCATTTTTATAGTGTATTTTGTCAAATTTGCAACTGCTTTCTAATCACTTAGTTATGTGGGGACTATTTTAATATAAGTAATCAAAAGTTCTACACTTGTAGTCTTCACATCAATATAAACACTTGGGCGAAATACAGGAAATATGTAATGAAAGTAGATAAGTGGTCAAGTGCAAAACTGCAAGTGTGGGTATTGGAGCAGACCCTTACTCAGGTGTTTTTACTCATGAGGAAGCATTTGGACCCATAGTTTTCATCATTTCGATTTGAATTCAACTTGTCAAATAAACGGCTCTTCTGCTCCAGTGGCCTCATGGGAAAGCAAAATGTCCATTGTTTCCTTGCTTCAGAATCCCAGCAGATGCAGGACGTCCTCAGGGTTTTGCTCACCTACTAAATCTCATTAATGCAGAGTATTCTGCACCCTACTCATTTCACATACTGTCTTTTGCGTGTGTAGCAGGGAAGCTCATATGGAGACAGGGACAGTCTCACACTCGGTGTACACTCATATACTTCAATTGACAAAAAATAGACCCAGGTGATACGATACAAGTGTCAGCAGAGAGACGTATTTGCATGCCTGTTCTTCACAGTCAGCACTATTATTGTGCAATCAGCAGCGCTGAGAGTAAACTCTCTTGATGTAACGTAATGAAGTTTCAATGCGTGTCGGTAATGAGGCATTAACAGCACAGGGTATCTTCAGCGGTGTGCTCAGCTCACGGCCCACTGCATCTCTGAGCCACTAATAACAAACACAACCATGTAAACACATCCATTTCACAGGTGGGCTGGTGCTGCAGTCTGACCGCTGAGATCTCGGAGATTAGCTCCAGCTCTGATCCAGAAGCGCTTGCTCCTAAAAGGTATTTCCGGCATTTACAAAAACTGCAGCGTCAAGTTTCCGCCATCCCTCCCTATTCTATCTGCGGGTCTTGAGGCAGTCCGGAGTGCTGGGTCGGTGTGTATGTGTGCTGATTCAAGCCTAAGCACAGCCTCTGGTGTCTTGGTAATTGAGCGTAATTTGGCTCCCTGCAGTAAAACTAATGGAGCGGAGACAGCCGGAGAGTAGCAAACAGGACAAAAGTAGCACAGGATAGAGGGAAACCGCTGAAAGAGCTTTTTGAGAGTGAGTCCATTGAGGCTAGTCCTCACCTCAGCTGTTACTGTACTAGTTTCGCTGGCTACACCGGCCCCCAAACCATCAGCGCACCCCTGGGACGACGATGAAATACTGGAGAGAGGTATTAGAAGGATTTCTTCATTCTGTCAGACTGCAGAAAAAAAGAGCTGAAGTCAGTGGGCCAAGAGCCAGGAGAACTGGACTTATATGGAAGTGATTCAGTGATTCACCAATGTAGTAAAAACGTGAAGGTTATGTTTCGTAAGAGCGCTTTCAATGTGGTCCGGAATGAGTGATGATTGTTTTGATGAGAAATGTGCAGGAAGAGTGACGGCTCCTGACTCTAGTCTTGGTGGTAAGCAGTAACTGCTAAGTTTTTGTGTGCAATGCTAGTAATAACATAATGTTAATTAATTTATGAATTGATTAAAGCTAGTAACTAAAACATTCTGAGTACCTTAGTGGCAAAACGTTAGGAACAGTTTTGTGCTTTGCTATGTTTGCTTTTACCTCCAAACTGAAGCAGTCTGCAGTGTTTAATCAGATTTACTGCATAAATGTAATCTGTTTTAAAAAAAAATTATCCATTTAATTTTTACCACTTCATGAGCACATTTTACAGAAAATTATATCATTCATCCATGTATCATTCATCCATGTATCCATGTATTCTAACAATTAATAAATACTAGTAAAAAATAGTTATAAATAAAACAAATAACATTCTAATAAAATAAGGATTCTTTTTAGCAAGCAAAATATATATCGTTAATATTAAATTACATCATATTTTCCATCTTATTAGCGAAAGCTATTTTCTGTGAATGTGTGAGACTTCAAATTCATTGGCCACTATAGGTGAATAACTATGTACAACAAAGTGCAGTGGAAGGGAGGGTAGGCGATTTGTTCCAGAAACATTTTTGCTATGCTGGATGAAAGTCACTTCATGTCCTGATAACAACCACTTAAGTGGTCTAAATGTATTTATATGTATATATATATATATCGTCTGTGGAAGACGTAGGACCATAAAATGTTCGTCCAATCATTGCATTCGGTCCGTTTTGAAGAAGGCGTGGCTTTGAAGAGCGCTCTAAAGGCAGGCTGGGATCTCATGCTTTCAAAGCTAGCTTGCTATTGCTAGCTGCTCCGCAAATTGCCTACCCTACCTTTAACAGTAAAACTTTTGTACGACTAAAATAACTGTAAGAGGATAACAACGGAAGTCTTGAACATTCAAGTTAAACTGCTCTTACTTTAAAAATAGTATATAATTTTTTAAAGGTGAAATGCACAAGTTTTTCACTGAATTAATCAGCCAGTCAGCGCTGTCATCATTTTTCTGTGGCTCTGTGGAGTAATTAGTCACATGACATTAATGACTCATATGATTGGCTCCAAAACTATTCTGTCCAGAACTGCCGCGAGTCTACAAGCAAATATTTCCTGTGCCAGCTCAGCAATTGCTATCAAAATTAGTAGCTAATGCTAACTGATCTTATGGTAGTTTCTTGAATCTCTTTAGTCTGAGCGAGCAACCGTAGCCTATCCAAGAGGGGCGGAGCTTATCATTTGGTCAGTTGCTTCTAAAGTCAGGGGTTCAGAGAGGAATCACCTCTTCTAAGCATTCAGTGCAAACTCCCCTCTGCTAGCTGCAGCCATTTACACCTCCGTCCACAAATTCATCCTGCCCTTCATCTATTCTATGAGAGAGAGAGAGACAAATAGAGAGTTAGAATACTGGAACCATATGTTCCACATCACTGATTAAACATCTTTATAGGCGTTGTCATCTATCTCCCTCTCCATCATAACATTCAAACATATCCTTTTAGCTCTGATAGAGAGTGACAATTCGTTTTTACATGGGCCACACTTATTGTTTGAGATTGATCACATTTACTAACAGGGGTGACTCAAATTTTCGTTATGGAATGGAGATATTAGAAATAACAAGATTTTTTTTATTGTCTTCAAGGATTTAGTGCCAGTTCTTTAATCTGATCGCGATTCCAAGAGTGCTAGCATTGTTAAACAACTAGTTTTCAAATCTGGTTGTGTTTATACAGGACATATCAACCAAACTCATTCTCAAAATTGAACGGTGTACTTTAATGAAGTCGCTACGCAGTTGTCATGAAAGGTGTATGAACAGGACTGTTTAGCGCGCTGTATTCCGTTTAGACACTATATTAGGTTGTTTCCTTGCTGTAATTCAGCTACGCTACGAGTGGGCAGCTTCAATTAGCATCAACTCATGGCGTCTTGCTAAACATTCAGAGACTAATCAGCTTCACACCATTTACACTCCTCCACATTACTCCACTGCTAACACTATCATTACGTTGTGTTATGACTGTTTATGATATGAATGTCAGATAATGAGGGCTTTAGGTGGGCTGGGGTGAAGGCTAACTGACAGAAATGATAATATTCCTAACATTAAACTTAACTCAATGCTTGTCTATAGCCCTGCCCCTACTTTTCAAAATACACAAAGGACGTAGTTATACAGTCTTTTGTATCCACCTTATTTTGCAACATGGAAGTAAGATATTCTTTGAATGTGCAAGACTTCCAATTCATTAGCCTCTGCAAATATTTGAAAATAACTGCAATAAATAGTAATACTATTTGCAACGATTTAAAACGCGTCATTTATACATTATTCAGTAATATTTTTTATTTTAATTTAAATTTTATTGTCAATCCTTCCCTCGCATCCTGTAACAAGTCCTTCCTCCGTGGGTCAAAATGACCCGAATCCCTAAAATTATACCTTTTTTTTTTTTGTCCAGAAAGCTTATATCATTTAATTTTACATTTTTTATATATTTTTTAATTTGGAGTTTTTTATTCTTTTTTATTTTATTTACCTTTAAATTACTAGATTTGATCAATAAATAATATAATTTAAGCACATTCTTTCAAATTGAATTAAAAATAACTCTCCAATTCATGCATAACCAGCTCAAAAGATCTCATATTGGGTCAATTTGAGTGTGTCTGTCGACCTCTTGAGGAAAAAATTATCTCTAGTATAAAAAAATACTAAAACAAAAATAACACTAATTGGGGGGAAAACGCTCTTGGTGCAGAGATGCATTAAACACTTAATGAATATTAATGGCAGGTTGTGATATGCTTTACAAGGACCCTGCACTATGTATAGTGCCTCTTATGATAGTAAAGAGGCACTATACATACAATAAGGTATTCTTTGGAAGTTACTCTCTTTCTTTCTATTGCTTCATCTCCTGTTAAGATCACAAAGATTAAGCAATTAGTGTTTCAAATTAAGAAAGAAAATTTACTCAACCACACCACTGTTTACCATTCATAAATCTCATCTTTCATTTTTTCCACAAAACACTTTCCTCACCACCAGAAATGAATACCAAGCTTAGTTCATATCCAGTGCCGTCCTCACAGACGTATCTTAATTGAGGTGACTTTCACGCCACTGTAATTTCAGACAAGTGACCTACTAGACGAGAATTAATCAATTCAGATTATTATCATTCATATGGCCTGTCACTGTAACTCTCAAATGGACTCATATATAGCCAATAAAAAGGGGAAAATGAAGAGGAGTGTGATTTGAAATCTGTATTTAGGTTTAATATAGAAGATAATTTTGCTGGTACATGGCTGACTGTAGAATATTTCAAAATGAATACACATAGGTGTTTTACTAAAGGTAAGAACATCAAGCATAAAGGTACTGGAGTAATCAAACGTCTTTCAAACCCACAGGAACAGAGGCTCACTCAAGTACACACTCCATTTTATGCAACCAGTCTTTCCCAAGGGAAAACACTGAACGAAAATAAAAGATAAGAAAGAAAATGGAAGACATGGGCAAAAAAATAAGGACAAATGCCAAGCCAATACAAGTGGGTTTATATACAGTACATATATATATATTTCTGGAGGGCAGGATTAGCCAATTGGTAATATAGGGATGTATAGTCAACTATAGAAATAGACTATATTTAGAACATGAATCAGATGACGGAGCTTGTGATCTTGAATGCTGTTCTGTCAACATCATTTATATATAAGCCAGTCGTTGTTTGGTTCCCCTGAGTGTGTTTTGTTGTTGTTGTTGTAGAAAAGCATGTTGATGAAATCCAAACCCATTTTGGAAAAGGGACATGTCTGAAAGAGAAAGCCCACTGAGGCATGACAGCCTTCCAGACGTGTTCATCTGCAAAAGGCAGGATGGTGAATGTGACTTTTTCCCCTCCCTTCAAACAGAGAACGCCATTCTGGCTTTCGGGAATGACACAGACCTGAAATCTGCGACCAACCAAGCTCCAGGCTCCAATACTAATCTTTACAACCAGGTCTTAGTTACCAGCACCGAGACGACCACTACCACCATTGGTTCTGCCATGGAGACCGAGCAGAACATTCTGCGTCCACAGATGCCCACACAGGTACAAGCCTTTATCCCGACTAGTCTGAGTGCCAGTATGTGTTCTAGGACCTTTTGAAAATCCAACTCGCCATGTTCCTACTAGATCAAAACCCATCTTTCACATTCTCTATTCATCCCAGTCAGAGCTTTCTTGTGAGAGAAAACAGATTTGCATTGTGTACGACATTGCATCCCCAAAATGACTTGAAATACAAGTCTTAAAAGAAAAAGAGAAAAAAGTATACCATTTTAATCGGATTTCATTGTGGATGTAGAATATGGTGATGCAGAATAAGGCATTAATATGTGCTTTATAAGTAAATAAGAGCCAATATCCTAGTAATATGCATGATAATAAGCAACTAGTTAATAGTGAGAATTGGACCCTAAACTGAAGTGTTACCCAAATCACATATGGTTTGGGTGTGTAAAAAATTGGAGTTCATTTTTCAAACAATTACATGGATTAGAGTTAGATATGCCTTTTACTGTATGTCTGTCTGAACAAAGCCATAGATATGTGTTTGTCTCACTGCTTACAGAAAACCATCCTACATGATTACTGTTGCTTGTTTCCTTGCCTGGCCAAGTAGCACACACACACACACACACACACACACACTAGTCTGGATTTATGGTTTTAGAGGGGTTTGGACCAGATTGGGAGACCAGTTAAGGCTAGCAAAGCACCTTACTGTAGACTGACTTAAGATGTTGTTTTGTTATTTTCTAATTCTCAACTTGTTTTAATCAGGACACATATTTTACATTGGAACACAATGCCGCAATCATTCAAAATTGAATTTTGAGAGCATTGTGCTCTCAGAGTGCCAATCATTTATGCAACTAAGCCTGTATTTATAATCACGTGCACATTATTTGATCTTGTATAGCTTTATTCATGCATCTATCAAGTGTTAGAAAGGACAGGATAAGATGATAAAACGATAAAATTCGTAATAACAAAGTGAAAAAGATCAAGCATAAAAAGCATATCATGTATCTAAAGCTCTCACTCGTTCTTTTTGTTCTGTAGATGAATGAGAGAGACAGACTGTGGGGCGACTCCACGCTCCCGCCCCCTGATCTCTATGACTCCAGTCCTGCTGCAGCCCACCTGGCCATGCTCATGTGGCTCCTCCCCTTTCTGCTGCTGGCTCTCCAACTTTAAAGTCAAGCAACCAATCAAAGCACCACAGAACCGGGACAGCGTGCGTGTGTTCATGAGTTTTAACTTCCACATCACAGCAACACGTTCAGAGAGGACAGCAAAACTCTTTAAATATATGAAACCCTGCTCCATTCCTCAACGCAATTTAGTGATTCATTGTTTGGATGTGCACATTGACTGATTTCAAGGGTTTAAATAATTGTGTGTGTGTGTGTGTGTGTATCTCTCATATTTTGGACTGAAGATTGTGCCCGTGTAAGATAAACCCCCCTCTCTCTTCAAAGCGAGCGAAAAAAAATGAAAAAAACATCAACTACCTGTTCATCATCCATATTTTAATATCTATTTTTCCCAGCTCTTTCGAATGGATGGTGTTGGTACGTGTGCTGTATATTCACCCGGATAGAAGTGTGTTTTGTGATGTTTGCTTGAAGCACAGGAACAAGTGGTAAGAGAGAGGAAACTGATGTAACGGACTAAAAGTGTCTATGATGAGCTCTTTCACGGGCTTCAGAGGGTTACAGAGACGTCTTTATTTTTGTAATGTGGCTGTATTGTTCAGATGTACATCCCACAGGCTGTTTCATCCCAGCAGTCCTCGAGTGCACGTTTGCTAAGAAAATGGCACAGATATGAAGAGCAGCAGAGGTTAAAGAACCTTGATGAAGGCCACGATCATTGAGCAGTTCTTGTACACTTCACCTGTTAATATGGGTGTTTGAAATACTGCACCAAACTGCTTATTGCAAATGGAAGAAAAAAAGAAGCACAAAACACCCTGTTAAACAAAGCACTTTCTGTTCATGTGAATTCAAGCAGCTTAATCATATTTCCTAACTCACTGTTTGTCTCAGCCAATCAAAACGAGCACAAGGGTCCGTCAATTGTCTCCGATGCCTGACGACAGTTTTCTGCGTCCCCATCCCTTGACCACTCGACATCTGCAGTTGTGTTGCTTTTTTTATTCTCGATTGTTCTGTGATGACGAACAAGGTGAGTGAAAAGTAAATGCTTTGACCCTCAACAACCTTCAGAGACTATTGACAACCAGCGACCGGCATCACAAAACGGGGAAAAACATTCCTGTCTAATGGGTTGAATTTGTGGATTTTACTTGTTATTACCTGAAAAATAAAGCTGCCAGATACAGATGTACAGAGTAATGTTTGGGTTTGCCAATATGTGTATGCGGTGAATAAGTGGCAAAGTTTGTTATGATCAGCAGACACTGGGGAAAAACCTGGAGCAATGGATGGTAAAATATGCTCAAATGAGTGAAAATAACTGAATGGAAAATACCGGAGAGATTTTCTTCATATATGATGTCAACATTTTTGTTGTCCCACAGAAAAAATCAATATTGTTGTTATGAATTATATCTTTAAAAATAGCCAAAATAGGTAATAATTAATCAAGGGGATTCATGAATGAGTGATGTTGTAATTCTGCAGAAATCAGTTCTGTGGCACAGATTGTGTGTGGTCCCGCTGATCAGCTCAAGCTGAGGGGGTAATGAGTAACTCAGGGAGTGAAGTAACCCTCATTTATTTGGAGCACAGTCGTTGCATTGCCACCTATGTGTATCGTCTGGGTCAGCACACACATCCACACTGCCCTTGAACAACCCCCAACAAAACGAAACACCCACAGGATATCTGAACATCTTGACTCGAGAAGGAAGAAAAATGTTCCGAGGGCTGGCCTACCAAATCACTCTGGAACCATGGGTTGTCATGTAATTCATGTGAAATGTATAGAATTCTTGCTCTCGGCCCAACCCGACAGCTAAGAAAGGGACTGTCTGTGAATAGAAACTAATAATAGGTAATAATAAAAATTACGATTTTACTTGACTTTCAAAAAATATTGACTACCAAGATAAACTTTTTTTTTATATATATATTATTATAAAAACATTTTTAGCAATTTTTACAACCTTGTTACAATTTGGAATGTTTAAATATAGTTTAAAACCCTTAATTGTCATTGAGTTATATACAATGTGTTTTAAAAAAAAAAAAGCATACTCTGGGTAACCAGGTTTAAATTAAAAAAGTCCCACTGCAGTCAATTATTTTATCCCTAAAGACTCATCTTTGATCATCAAAATGACATATATAAAAAAAATCCCTTCCCGCCTTAAAATAGCTTGAATGTAAACACCCATGCTTCAGTTAGCTTGAATGTAAACACCCTTGCTTCAACCCTGTGGATGAATATGCAAATTAGCGCCCGCTTCCACTCAATCAAATACCTGATCCACTCAACTGTAGAAAACGCTACATAATGGCAAGTGGAAATATTTGTTTAATTCAGCCATATACACTCACCGGCCACTTTATTAGGTACACCTGTCCAACTGCTCGTTAACACTTAATTTCTAAGCAGCCAATCACATGGCGGCAACTCAGTGCATTTAGGCATGTAGACATGGTCAAGACAATCTCCTGCAGTTCAAACCGAGCATCAGTATGGGGAAGAAAGTTGATTTGAGTGACTTTGAACGTGGCATGATTGTTGGTGCCAGAAGGGCTGGTCTGAGTATTTCAGAAACTGCTAATCTACTGGGATTTTCACGCACAACCATCTCTAGGGTTTACAGAGAATTGTCCGAAAAAGAAAAAACATCCAGTGAGCGGCAGTTCTGTGGGCGGAAATGCCTTGTTGATGCCAGAGGTCAGAGGAGAATGGCCAGACTGGTTCGAGCTGATAGAAGGGCAACAGTGACTGAAATAACCACTCGTTACAACCGAGGTATGCAGCAAAGCATTTGTGAAGCCACAACACGCACAACCTTGAGGCGGATGGGCTACAACAGCAGAAGACTCCACCGGGTACCACTCATCTCCACTACAAATAGGAAAAAGAGGCTACAATTTGCAAGAGCTCACCAAAATTGAACAGTTGAAGACTGGAAAAATGTTGCCTGGTCTGATGAGTCTCGATTTCTGTTGAGACATTCAGATGTTAGAGTCAGAATTTGGCGTAAACAGAATGAGAACATGGAACCATCATGCCTTGTTACCACTGTGCAGGCTGGTGGTGGTGGTGTAATGGTGTGGGGGATGTTTTCCTGGCACACTTTAGGCCCCTTAGTGCCAATTGGGCATCGTTTAAATGCCACGGCCTACCTGAGCATTGTTTCTGACCATGTCCATCCCTTTATGGCCACCATGTACCCATCCTCTGATGGCTACTTCCACCATGTTACAAAGCTCTAATCATTTCAAATTGGTTTCTTGAACATGACAATGAGTTCACTGTACTAAAATGGCCTCCACAGTCACCAGATCTCAACCCAATAGAGCATCTTTGGGATGTGGTGGAACGGGAGATTCGCATCATGGATGTGCAGCCGACAAATCTGCGGCAACTGTGTGATGCCATCATGTCAATATGGACCAAACTCCCTGAGGAATGCTTCCAGCACCTTGTTGAATCTATGCCACGAAGAATTGAGGCAGTTCTGAAGGCAAAAGGGGCTCCAACCCGTTACTAGCATGGGGTACCTAATAAAGTGGCCGGTGAGTGTATGTTTGAACCAGAAACTGAAAAAGGAAGAACGAGATATGCAAGGCCGTCTGCAAGTCGATGGGCAATTTATATTCGACTAGCTTTTGTCTTGACTACATTAGCAACACATTATTAGCTGTTTGACAATGTTTCGACCCATATTCCTGTTTGTTTGCCAGTCAGACAGCTGCCTTCTAAAAACCAGCATCTAGGAAGTCAGTGGAGAAAAGGCCCCCACGTTGACTGGATTGGTCACGATTTGCGACGGTACCGCGTTTTTGGTACAGTGCAGATTTAAGGAGAAAATATTCAACAATAGTGTGGACTGATTTGCACATGGTAAGCATGCATAAACAACATTAAAAACTTATTTTCACCGCAGGGGGTCCTTTAACTTATAGTGCAAATCTAGCCTAAAAGGTTTGAAAACGTCTGTCACTTAGCAAAGGACAGCTAGTTTGTAGTAATTTCCTTACAGGATTGAATGGCTGAGATTGACGAATGCAGCAAACACTATCATTTGTGTATAAATTGAGAAAATGGAATGCAAGGATTTACTTGTACTCACCTCACGTGATGCCATGATGTTGAAAAGTCCAAATGATGACTTTAATGGTCATGTAATTTAAAAAAATGCTCCTCTTTTTTTTTCTTTTTAAATAGACAGATCATTCAGTAACAGATGCCTGCAAAATGTGGGACAGCTAAATAGCACATTCATGATAATTAAACAAAATATTTTTACTACAAAGAAAATTGATGTATGATTTTAGTTGCATATAGTTGAGATCGTCAAGATCTCTGAGATGGCACAGGGCAAAATGACCATTTTAAGGAGGGGATTTGAGGAAAGTTCCACATCCTCTTGGAATATTTACAATCCCCGCTAGTGTATTTGATCAAATGCAAACGTAAAGCTAATGGTGAGAATTTCCATTCAATTATGGAGCAGCAAAGTATCTCTAATATATCTGAAGCGGCGAGACTTTGACAGCTCCCTCGTAATCCCATTTCGACTGCGTCTGTTCTGAAGAGGCTCTGGATCAAAGCTCTCGCCGAGCTGAGGAAGTTGTCACGATGTTGTATATCCTTATCCGCTTGCTGATAAGGACATAATGCATTTAATCTGGCCCGTTGTCAAACACGTTGAAATGTTTTACAATAGCACACTATGCTATGATAAAACAAATGTACATTAGATGCAGCAAAAGTGAGCTCTTTACCTCATTAAATAAATGATGGGTGATTGACAAAGAACACTACAATTTCACTCAACATCAGAACAACTGATTTACAGGTAGTCGTTGTCATTTTACCATTTAATTATAGACAAAATGTTCTATGTCATTCTTTATGTACACATAATTACAAGGTCAGTTTAAATTTTCAGGTCTTATTTTTTTCTTTTAAGTAGGCAGCTAGTTTAAAGTTTGTTCATGACATTCGCCATCTTACATACAAAAGAAGCTGCAATGCAGTCACATTTCAAAAGCCTGGGATACTCCTCCCTCCAAGTGCAGTAAGTTGCTTAACAGAGACGGCATTCACATTACTGTCCATCACTATGTACAAAAAAACTTGAGTGCACTTGCTGCTACATTATACATATTAACAAACTACAGACTCCATATCTACAGTATCACTGTATATAGATGGTGCAGTCGGTGTGCGAGGAGTACTGTTTGAGGCTTACAGAGAAAAGCATTGTGAGAATTAGCTTCCATCTGAAGGAAGAGAGACCAGCTCCTTTCATTAGACCACTTTGTGTGTAGGTGTGAGTGCGGTTTTCCCTTTTGGGCCCTAAAAGATCGAGAGATGGGTGTCACAGGACATGAGTTTTCCATTGAGATCACGGACAGATTAATGACATCCTGTTTAGGCTGTCAGAACTAGATGTTTTGTTCTGGTCTAGCGACCTGTGTCCCTTTATTCATGGCACTCTAAACGCACCAAGAACCGGCAAGCAGGTCATCTGTGCAGTCTCGAAACAGGATAATGAAAGATGTAATGACTGCGCTGCTACACACACTTACACCGGTTTAGATTTCATAACGTCACATTTGCTCACTCTATCTCTGACCTTTCCTTTGCACAGAGCAATGCACTCCATATCCTGGAGAATACCCCCGGTATCCCACGCAGGTCCAGGTTTGTGCATTTGTGTATGCAGATAATCCTTCGCCAGCCCAAAATGACATCTGACATTTTGAGAAACCCAAACAAGGTCCTTGCTCGCTGCTGCCTGCCTGCAGTCTGCTTTTATTTCTCCTTTCCTTGAAATGTGCATGAGAAATGGGCTGAGATTTCAGATAAGAGAGAAGTGAGAGGAAGTAAATAATAAAAGCAGAAGCAGCACTATCATTACGGCAAACATAAACACTCATGTCTCGGATCATATGGGAAAGGAGGTCATTCAAAAGAGAATGGAAGGATGTGAAAAAGCTCAAATGTAGATCAAACATGAAAAGCTCGAGAGAGACGTCACAGATGACCTGTAAAGTCAAACGCTTGTAAACATACCAGGTCGTCGTGTTTTATTCCAGAGAGTTGGCGCACCAACCGCACACCAAATGAGAGACATGATTAATTATTATTAAGAAATAAAAGCAATTTGAGTTGACAGAACTACTACCACCAT